AAGCCTTCACTAGTTATGGCCACACTGAGGACCCAGCAAGCCTTCACTAGTTATGGCCACACTGAGGACCCAGCAAGCCTTCACTAGTTATGGCCCTCCTCTAAGTTGTTCCCTTTTCATTTATGACAGAGCTCCTTAAAGAAAATCACCCCAGAGTACACATCTTAAACATTAATAAGGAAAATGAATTTAAGGTATATTTAAAATATTCAATATAGTTAATTGCTCGTATTTTCCTATTTTTTCTTCACATTGAAATATATTAAAATGTTGTTCATGTACAAAACTTTATTCTAGGAACTAAACATAACCCATCATCAGGTAGGTTTCTTACCTTCTGCTGGCTCTTAGTGTGCAGGAAACTTAAGATGAATATTTAAGTAAGTAAGTAAAAGCCTTCTAAAATTTAAAACATTAAATGTGAAATTCAGAATGTGAACTAAGCACAAAAACTCAGAAATTATATTTCTACTCCATGGTTGAATCTCTGCTTGTGCAGCTTGTAACTATTTAGGCAAAAAAAAAAAAGTATTACTTAATTCTACAGACTTAATTATTTTATTAAAAGTAGATTCTTCTCTCATACAATACATCCCTACCACAGTTCCCTCTCCTTCCATTCCTCCCAGTCTTGCCCTTTCCCCAAGATCCACTCCTTCTCCTTTTCCTTTCAGAAAAGAGCAGGTCTCCATGAGACAACAAACAGACAGCACACAACAAGATACAATAAGACAAGACAAAAAGCCCTGACACTGAAGCTGGACAAGGCAAGTCAATGGGAGGAAAAGAGTCCCAAGAGCAGATGGAAGAGTCAGAGACACGCCCCCTCTCACCGTTAGGAGTCCCACAAAACCACCAAGTTAACTGTAACACATATGCAGAGGACCTGGTGCAGATCCTTACAGGCCCTGTACTTGTGTTCACTTAATTAAATTAATGTGAAAAATATAGGTATAAATTTTGATGGGCTTTAATTGTAATTCCCCATAATTTCTTATGTTATTCAATACAGAAACAAAACCAAGAACACATTTTGTCAAAAACAATAAAAAATGAATCCAAAGTTTTGGAGGAGAAAGAAACTATATCCAAGGATTGTTCTGAAATCAAAGGCCACCCACCAGCTGTTGGATAAGTTTTCAGTTTCCTTATAACTTTGAACCATGAAAATAATGAAAGTCACACCATTTTATTCATTTTTTAAATCTTTTTACTTTTATTTTTATTTTACGTGTAGAGTGTTTGCCTGCATGTCTGTATGTGCACACGTGCGTGCAGTGCCTGTGGAGGTCAGAAGATGTCGTCAGATTCCATGGGACTAGAGTTACAGATGTTTGTGAGCCACCATGTGGGTAGTGGGAACCGAACCTGGGTCCTCTGCAAGAGCAACAAGTGCTCTTAACCACTGAGCCATCTCTCTAGCCCCCAGTAAAATAGATTAAACCACAACAATGTATATTTATCCCAAAGTTCCTGGCTCAAATTTCAGATTTGCTCTATCATGAAAACTATGCCTTATAAAATTCTTTCTGTTATGTATTTTCCATATCTGAATCCACCCCCCCCCACTTCAGAGTATTTACTACCCTCCAGCATTTCTCAAAATAAAACAAACAAGCTGGCCCCAAGCCAAAAACCCAACTGGTCATAACTATATAAAAGTTTTTCTCTGGTCAATTTTTGAGATGCAATGATATAGACCATTGCTGAGTTTAAGAATAAATAATAAATCCAGATTCAGAGAGAGAAAATTAATCTCACAAAGGGGCATTTTACCTTGGAGCTGAAGCTACATTCATCGTCTTCTGTTGCAGGCGTGGGAGTTCTGTGGGCGAGGCTTAAGAATAAAAATGAACAAGAAGAGAGTGTTTCGGTGATCAGTTATCTGTATACTAGATGGCATTTCTTTAGAGATATTTAAAGTTGATCTCTGTTAAAAACAAGGGAACAAACAATTGCTCTGTTTCAACCTTCATTATTATTTATGGAGACTCATTCATATATCCATGACAAAGAATGGTAGACCATATATTGGCAGAGCCCCAAAATAACCTGTCTTCATAAATTTCCTCTATGGAAGACAGAAATGAAATCCCCCCATTGGCTCCCATATATTTTAACTGCCAGGATTGAAAAACAAAATACAAAACAAGGCTCAAACATATAGTGTTCCTTCCTTGCTGTCTCCCATTTAGTGACTGTAATTCAAAGTTGGACATCTTGATTCTTCATAGTTAAAACCACAGACTGAAAGATGCCAGTGTTTTGCATCATCTTAAAACAGCACAGAATCTCCCCAGATGGAACCATTGAAATATTGGAAAGCCAGGCAATAGTTAAAGATCATATGTCTACACTGTCACTGACAATATTCTCTTCCGAAAGATTAAAATACTAAAAATTATAAAATCCAAGGGCATCAAGAGCATGGTGGAAGAATCGACAGAGACAAAAAAAAAAAAAAAAAAACCAAGCTAGTGAGAACTCGGGAACTTTAGACCAACAGCTGCGGAGCTTACACAGGACCAGATTAGACCCTCTACATAGGGGAGACAATTGTGAAGCTTGGTCTGTTTAAGGAGCCCCTGGCAGTGGGATCAGGATCTATCCCTGGTACACGAGCTGGCTTTTTGGAGCCCATTACCTGTGGTGGGACACCTGGCACAGCCTTGATGGGAGTTGAGGGGGCTTGGACCTGCCTCAGCTGAATGTACCAGGCTTTGCTGACTCCCCATGGGAGGCCTTCCCTTTCCAGAGGAGGGGATGGGGGTGGGGAGGGAGGAAGGCTGGGGGGAGCAGGAGGAAGGATGAGAGGGGAATCTGTGGTTGGTATGTAAAATGAATAAAGTCTCAATTAAAAAATTATAAAAAAATTAGTTTCTTCAGATGACCTTCATTTTCAGCTCTTCACAAAGCAGCAAACAATTAAAAACCCCTCTCAGGCACATCTTCACTAGAGGGAGGCTGGGGGGAAAGTAGCACCATGGTGGAGCCTCTAACTCCCCAGGAATATATTCCCTCCTAAGCACTCACACTCCAAGATCCTCTTTCTTCAGGGTTCAGTCACAGTCTCTGTGGCAAAGCATCATGATAAAAATGTCCCTTGCATTCTGAAAGACTGGAGCTTCTGCTGGACCTCATAGCCAGAGTTAATAATATACTGAGGTCACCTAAGCGCTAAGACTGCTGTCCTACTGTGTGCTCAGCCGTTGTTTAACCTGCTTTTAAAAAGAGCCATGGGCTGGAGAGATGGCTCAGCGGTTAAGAGCACTGGCTGCTCTTCCAGAGGACCTGGGTTCAATCCCCAGCACCCATATGGCAGTTCACAACTGTTTGTAACTCCAGTCCCAGGGGACCTGATGGCCTCCTCTAGCCTCCACAGGAACTAGGCACAGACATACATGCAGGCAAATCATCCACGCACATAAAATAACAACAAATAAATCTTTAAAAAAAAGAACCATGTAACAATCACCCTCTCTTGGATTTCTCATATTATCAATGTTTACAACCTACACTAATGCATAACTGTAATCTTAAATTATTTACTAGTTACTCCATGCCCCGGCCCAGGTAATACATGTGTATCATTTGCTGAAAGCAACAAATACAGAGGTTAAAAGCAACCTTTAAAGCAAATAGTTACCATACATGTTAGACATGGCACGTGGATAATCGGTTGGTAAACAATGATGTCTGTAGTAGTGATTGCTGTCCGAGTCAGTCAGAGTCAATGACTTAATCCCTTGTAAAACCCTGTTAAAGATTTTTTTGTAAACTATCCCATTCTTTCCTCATGTGATGCGTTCTGTGTTGTTCAATAGAGACAGAAAAAAAATCCCTTTGTCAAGGGAGAGACACACACAGAGGGCATGAAGTAGAGAACTCACATATGGACTTGTTCTTGGCTAAATGTCTCCAAGGGAAGCACTTTTTTTCTTTCCTCAAAGGAACATCAATGCATTATTGGTGACTCAGAGTCCATCACCAATGTATTTAATCCACACGTTCTCTGACCTTAAACCTCAGTCCTGTGAAAGCACAGAATCCTGAGGAAGGATCGACTCAGATGATTAAGATTACAGGCCTTCTTTCCTGAGCCTGTTAAACACCCTGGGGTCAGGTTGACCTGATGTGACTTCTCTCAGCCATTGATTTAATTTGCATTTTCCTAGGTGACCATCAATAAATTAACACTGAAGTGGGTGAGAGAAGAATGCTACCTGGTACAGACTCATTGAGTACCTGAAATCACTTCAGCATCATTTAACAGAAATCTTGAGTTTTATCCGTTTCTACAGTCTAACAAAAAAGAGCCTTTCCCCTGAACTCTTTTGAGGTCTTTATTCTAACATGGTCTTCTAGATTCTCCAATGTTCTGTATCAAGAATTTCCACATTATTTTCACCACATGTGATACAATCGCCCGAAGTGCTCATGTCTTTCCTAAAATTGTGAACAGTGCCCATAACTTTTTCCTTACAAAGCCTGTTCTGTTGGTAAAGCCCAGAGCGAACTCATTGTCATTTCCATCCTGGTCCTCTTCACCCTCCATCTTACTAAAATTACCAGTGAGGGAGCTACTGGCCACCGACTGAAGGGTCACGAGTCTCACTGCTGCCTTTTAGTATCCAAAGAAGTCATTTCAGAATCTCTGGTTTCAGCTTCTCCAACAGAGCAGTCATGTGGGGAAGATTCTAAACACAGGTTCAAGTGTCTGTGGGTAGTTTGATTAGTCTCCAGCGCTCCCTAAAGTTATGAAACTGTACAAGCAAAGGAATACTTAGCAGCCAGACATAAAATAATGAAAGAGAAGCCAAAAGAAATAATCATCATGAAGGTAGTATATTCATTGGAAAAGAAAATAGACTAGAAAAAAAAAGTGGCTGAGGAACTAGACTGGTATGGCTGGCAGCTTGGGTCAGTAAGTAGAAAAGTCAATGAAAATATCTTCTAAAGAGATGTTTGAGTATTACTTATACACCATTTAAATATTCTTCACTTCTACTAGAATAATTATATGTCAACACTATGTACTATGGCCACGTTAGTGGGAGCTTCTCTAAAACCTTTAACTGCTAAAAACAAGGCAATGCTTACCAACACAGCATACATTAAAATACTGGATTATGATGAAGCATGGAAAAAAATTCAACACTATGTCTAAATTTGACTTCCTGAATTGGTGTTATATAGACCTGTATTTTTGTCCTTTCAATCTCTGCAGAGGAAGAGAGGACAGCATTGTAGAGCTAGGCAGGCAGGCAGTCAAATCATGGGTCAGTTACACGTCAATGACAGGATTATGAACCAGTTAAGCTGCCTTCAAATAAGAGTAGCCAATTATGGGGAGAAGTGGTGGGTTTGTTTGTTTGTTTGTTTGTTTGTTCTGGAGACAGAGTTTCCCTCTGTAGCCTTGGCTGTTCTGAAACTCACTCTGTAGACCAGGCTGACCTCAGACTCACAGAAATCCACCTGCCTCTGCCTTCAGAGTGCTGGGATTAAAGGCGTGTGCCACCACTGTTCAGCATGAGCAGTACATTTAAATTGGACACTTTACATACATTCTGTGATTCCTATGAGATGGCAAGTAGTATGTACATCATATAGAGTCTAGCTAGCCCAGAGAATACACAACAAATATTAGTTACTTTTCTCTGCATTCACTTAAGACTGCCTTACACAATTAAATTAATCAAATCTTACCTTGTTTTAGAGTAGCATTCAGGACATGTATCTGCTTCTGAAGATAGAGGAAAACTATATTTTAAATCAACAAAATGAATAGAAAGAAGAAAATGGGGAAATACAATCTTTACAATAAATGAGATCTTTTGTAGCGTGATTCTCCTTAGAACCACACCTGGCTGAGTGTTCTACCAGGAAGATCAATTAGATCAATGGCTGGAGGCTAATGTATTGGGAGCTCTTAAATTAACTTCTTATATGTTTCCAATGAAAGGTGGAAGAGAGAGATGTCTCAAAATGTAATCCATGAAAGTAAATGTCACTGCCCAACCCCACAGTCATAAGAGAACCCTGCCAGACTGAAAGCAAACTGCGCGGCCTGCAAAAGCAGAAGCTTCTGTGTCTAATGGCTCTGTGGTCTTCTGGACCAACGACACTAGGGACAGATCTGTTCATATTTTGTTATTACAAAACATGGCTTCTCCAGATTTTCATCCAACACTGTGCTGTGTAAGATGAAGAGTGAGGCCACAGGGAAGGCCGGTTTGTGGGCACTGTGTGGCATGGCAGGGGAAGGGTCTCTCTGGAGTCTATCTCCCTGGGGCTGTCCCTGGAAGATGCTAACAGCCTCTTCCAGTTTGCCTCCAATGGAAAGATCTCACGGAAAGAGCATCCCTTTATATCTTTATCCATTCTTAACCATAACCAATAGACAGATACCTAGAAAGGCACTGTAGAGATTCAAGAAAGGTTGCATGTGATAGGAAAACTGTAGAAATAAAACTATTGGAGCTGGAAGGGTGGCTCAGCAGTTGAGAGCACTGACTGCTCCTCCAGAGGACCTGAGCTCAGTTCTCAGAACCCACATGGCAGTTTAGAACCATCTGTAATCCAGTTCCAGGGACTCTGATGCCTTCTTCTGGCCTCTGGGAGCATATGGTACACAGGCATCTACGCAGGCAAGGCACCCATAAACATTAATTTAAGATAAAATTTAAAAAAAAACTATTATCTTGATTAAGCTTCCAGAATGTAGCAGTAATTGTGTGATGGTGGCTTTTAATTGTCAACTTGACGCAGTTGGTGGGTATCTCCGTGAGGGACTGTCTAGATTGGGTTGTCCTGTGGTCACATCTGGGGATTACCTTTGCTTTGCTAACTGGGGTGGGAAGACACTGCCACCGTGGGTGGCACCATTCCCCATGCAACAGATCCTGAACTCTGCAACAATAGAAGAGGAGCTAACACAAGCACACACGCATCTGCTGCTCTCTTCTGACCACAGACTGATGTGACCAGTTACCTCAAGCTCTGGCTGCTGCCAACTCCCTGCTAAGAAGGATGTGCAAGCTAAAATGAAGCCTTTCTCCTCTAATTTGCTTTTTTCAGGGTAATTTTAATCACAGCAACAGGAAATAAAACTAATTCAAATGGGATCTCTATAATCAGAGAACATTTTCCCCTCTCACTTTTCTTAAGGAAAACACATATTTGGGCTTTATTAGGTATTTCCCCAGAACAGAAAATCTACTATAAAAGGAAGGTTAAGGATTTCAGTGACAGAGTAACACACATACACCTGCACACAAATACTCAATTTGTATGCTGATTTCATAAACGCTACTTTTTTGGTCAGTCTTTCTTACTCCTATTTATCTTATCAAGAAGAGTGGGTTTGAGTTAATCCACTATCAGGGGACTTACTTGGACTGCAGTCTTCACAAATTTCAAGTTCCTTCTCTTGATCGTCTAAGGCAACTTGGCTTTTGCCATGTGTGATGAAAGGAAAAACAAAATCAATATCTTAGTAGTTATATGAAAAAATTAAACCAGGACATTAAATAGTGGAAGGCTCATTTTATAAATTATGAGAGTGGGTATTATGAGGCTAAGTACCAAAAGTTCCTTCCTAAGTTTCCAATCAAAGAAGAAAAGGTAAAAATGTGGATGGAATGGTCACCAGTCAAAGATAAATGCAGCACAGACCAGAAACTGGATTAGCTTAACATCATAGAAAGTACTCAAGACTGTTTTCCTAACACACAAATTCCTTTTCTTATGCTCAACTACTTCTTAAAAAATCAGAATTTAATCGGCTTACTTTATCAAGGAATTTTCAAGATTTGAGACGCTAAAGAGGGTGAACAGAGAATTAATAAAATTACAGGATATCTTATCCTCTACAGTTGAATGAGCTAGAATCCCAAAGATGAGTTATATCACAGATCCAAACAACAAATGGCTGCACTTAGCAGAGATAATGTCTTAAATCAGGCTATTACCTGTTTTATTTTTGTGACAGGTAATTCAGAGGAGATAAGAAAATCATTTGTAACCATAAATTCTCTTTACCTTAACGTGATTGTCAGTAATTATAGCACTAATGAATTACAACTGTGCAGGCCAAGACCAGCGTTGGACCGCCTACCAGTGTTCCTTCATACTTAACCACATTTTTTTGGTTTGGTTGGTCGGCTGGCTGGTTATTTTGAGAAAGGGTCTCACTTTGTAGCCCGGGCTGGGAACTTACAGAGATCTGGCTCCCTTGCCTTCCGAGTGCTGGGGTCTTTAATCTAGCATGTACTGCCATGCCAAGCCTCTGACCAAGTTCTTGACACACAGCACATCACCCACAGAATGACAATCTCCACGCCAGTCAGGAAAGTGCCCTGGGAGATTCATTGCCATGTACAACACATCGTTTGAGGGATCAGATTTGGCAACTGCCTCGGAGAAGGGCACAATGGGGACTTCCACCGTCTGAGACTTAAGGGGCTCTGAACCTCTCAGGTTTATAATAGCAAAGGAATCACCCAAAGGCTGTCACCATGGATGAATAGGCTAATGTGGATTCCACAAAGCTTGGGGTCTGGAGAACAATGATTTTGTGTGCCGTGTGTGTGGTGACACCTGAGAGACCTAGCTAGCTGCTCAGAGTCTGGCTCCTGATCCTATTTCTACTGCTGTGATAAACACCATGACCAAGGCAACTTACAAATGGGGATTATGGATTCAGAGGGTTAGGGCTCACGAGAGCATAAAGGCTTATGGGAAGGGCTTTTCCCATCCACTTGGGCACGTCCATTGGTGTTGTCCTTGTTCGGCTCATGTTTGGGCAGTCATGTTGGCGAGACTTTATGGACGTGGCTTCTGACATTACTAGGAGACACAATCTCACTGCAAACTCCCTCTTCTTCTGGCTCTTACAATCTTTCCATTTCCTCTTCTACAGTGTACCCCGAGCCCATCGGGACTGAGCTCCACAACTCTGCATTGTGATTAGTTGTGGTTTTCTGTAGTGGTCTCTGTCAGTTACAAAGCGAAATGTCCTTGATGAGGGATGAAGACTATACTTCTCTGTTGGTAGAAGGACGGATATTTATAGATGGTTGTCAGGAACCGTGCTGGTTTAGTAAAGCAGTGGTTGTAGGTTCTTCTCCAAGATCCATAACTTCACTAGCATCGCGTAGGTTTCCAGTACCAGACATGCTTTCCCTCTTGTTGAGTGAGTCTCAATTATAGAGCTGTGGGTTACACCAAGGCATGTGTGCACTACTGCATCACTAAGGTTATTGCGCCGTGCTGGTCATTGATATGATTCACAGGCATCATAGCTGGGTAGGGCTGTGGTCCTCTCTCTCCTGTGGAAGCTTGCATAGTGCCTTCTGGTTTTGTGAAAGCTATTGCTCAGGGAGGAGGCTCCCGGGTCAGTTCTAGCTCAAGGATCTCGGAAGTGCATGGTGTCTCCGGTAATAAGGACTTACCTTCCACCTCTGGGGGACAACCGGGACAGCAGCAATAAACTATGTTTTAGAAATTTCTTCGACATCCCTGGCTAACAACTCAAAAGAGGGCTTCTCGTGTCTGGTATTGGGGTTCTTGGTTGGTGGACTTTGGCTCTTGGAGGGTGCACCATCAACCCAGATGAGAAAAGTTCTTTAAAACTGTCTATGTATATTTATATACTGAATTATATGTATTATAGGTTTTTTTGTAAAACATTAATAGTATTCCTTGTGGCCTTTTTAGACAGTCTTCTGTATTATCACCTTCTCCCCCCCCCCCATCCTGGAAGACCCCTCCTTTTGCTGTTCCCTATGAGAGCCTATGAGTCCTGCTGTTCCTCTCACTATTGCTCCCCGAACCCACTTCCTGGGAATGGTCCTGTTTTACTGTCCTGTTTCTGTAGTTACTACAGGCTATGAACTCACATCTGAAGATCTGGAACTCAGTGCCTCCAATGAGAGAAATATGGCATTTCTCTTTCTGGGTCTAGATTACCTCACTCAATATGATCTTTCCTAGTTCCATCCACTTAGCTACAAAGTTCACAAATTCATTTTTAGTTACAGCGGGATAGTAGTCCACAGAATGTACCACGTTTTCATTGTTCATTCGTTGCTTGAAGGACATTTGGGTTGTTTCTATTTCCTCACTGTTGGTCCAGCAATGGACATGGATGAGCAAGTGTCTGTAGGAGCAGGATGCTGAGTCCTTTGGGTAGATGCCCAAGAGTGGCATATCTGAATCTTGAGGCAGACCTATTCCCAGCTTCCTGAGAAACTGCCACACCGGTTTCCATAGTGGCTGTACAAGTTTTCACTCCCACCAGCAATAAATAAATGTTCCCCTTCCCCACAGCTTTGCCAGCATGAGCTGTCATTTATTTTATGATTTTAGCCATTCTGACTGATGGAAGAATGACTCTCAAAGTAGTCTTTTTTTTTTTTTTTTTTGGTTTTTTGAGACAGGGTTTTTCTGTGTAGCTTTGTGCCTTTCCTGGAGCTCACTTGGTAGCCCAGGCTGGCCTCGAACTCACAGAGATCCGCCTGCCTCTGCCTCCCTAGTGCTGGGATTAAAGGCGTGCGCCACCACCGCCCGGCTCAAAGTAGTCTTAATTTGCATTTCCCTGATGACTGTGGATGCTGAACATTTCTTTACATGTTTCTCAGCCATTTGTATTTCGTCTTTTGAGAACTCTCTGCATTGCTCTGTATCCCATTTGAAATTGGGTTATTTGTTTTCTTGATGCCAAGGTTTTTTGTTTGTTTGTTTTTTAGTTCTTTATATATTTTAGATGTTAGCCTTCTATCAGACATGTAGTTGGTAGAGATTTCTCCCCCACCCCGTTCTTTAGCCTGCCACTTTGTGTGACTGACTGTGTCCTTTGCCTTACAGGAGCTTTTAAGTTTCATGAGGCCCCACTGATTAAATGTTGCTCTTAGTGCCTGTGCTAACAGTGTTCTGTTCAGAAAGTTGTCTCCTGTGCCAATGCGTTCAAGACTATTTCCCACTTTCGCTCCTACCAGATTCATGTGTCTGGTCTTATGTTGAGGTCCTTGATCCATTTGGAGTTTGTGCAGGGTGATGTATATCGAGTTGTATTATTCTGCATGCAGCTATTCAGTTTGCCCAGCACATTTGTTGAAAATGCTGTGTAGATGTAACCGTCTTATTAAATAAGAAACACAGAACCAATGTAAAAGAGAAAGCCAAGAGATCAGAGCTCAGAGCTAAAACCTTACCCCTCCTCCTGCGGTTCTCCTCCTTCTCCGAAAGAGACATACTTCCTGTGTGTGTGTCTATACATAGTCTTTCTGTTCTGCCTTCTCATTGTTTGTAAACCCAAACACGTGACTGCCTTATCACTGCCTGTATGTACAGCCCTCCAGGTCTTAAAGGCGTGTGTCTCCAATGCTGGCTGTATCCCTGAACACACAGAGATCTACCTAGCTCTTCTACCAAGTGCTGGGATTAAAGGCGTGCGCCACCACCACCACCACCACACTCTTGCTAATGGCTCTAATAGCTCTGACCCCCGGGCAACTTTATTTATTAATATACAATTAAAATCACATTTCAGTACAAATAGAATACCACCATAATACTGTCTTTTTCCCCAGTGTGTATTTTTGGTTTTGTCAAAACTCAGGTGAGTGGACTTAGTCTGGTTCCTTGATCCAGTTCCATTGATCAACATGTCTGTTTTAATGCAAATGCCATGCTATTTTTTATTGCTAGATCTTGTAGTACAACTTGAAATCTGGAATGGTGATACCTTCAGCAGTTCTTTATTATTAAAAATTGTTTTAGCAATCCTGGTTTTGCGTGTGTGTGTGTGTGTGTGTGTGTGTGTGTGTGTGTGTGTGTGTGTATTTTCATCTGAAGCTGAAAATTGTTTTTTCAGTTTCTGTGAAGAACTGTGTTAGAATTTGGATGAGGATTGTATTGAATCTGTAGATTGCTTTTGGTAGGATGGCCGTTTTTATTATATTGATTTTACTGATGAATGAGCATGGGAGATCTTTCCATCTTCTGGTGTCTTATTCAATTTCTTCAATGTCTTGAAGTTTTTATTATACAAGTCTTTCATTTGCATGGTTAGAGTTGCCCCAAAATATTTTTGAGGCTGTTATTAAATATACTGTTTCCAATTTCTCAGTCCATTTGTCATCTGTATACAGGAAGGTATGCCAGCTAGTCTGCTGTCACACTGTCACACTGGACACACAAACCAAAGTCATCTGAAAGGAAGGAACCTTAACTGAGAAAATGCCTCCACAAGATCTGGCTGTAGAGCATTCTCTTAATTGGTGATTGGTGGGAGAGGGCCCAGCCCACAGTGGTGGTTCCATCCCTGGGCTGGTGATCCTGGGTTCAGCAAGAAAGCAGACTGAGCAAGTCATGAGGAACAAGTCAGTAAGCAGCACCCCTCCATGGCCTCTGCATCAGCTCCTGCCTCCAGGTTCCTGCCCTGTTTGAGTTCCTGTCCTGACTTCCTTTGATGATGAACATCAATGTGGAAGTGTAAGTCAAATAAACCCTTTCCTCCCCAACTTGGTTTATGGTCATGGTGTTTTACCATAGCAACAGAAACTCTGACTGAAATAGAAGGCTACTGATTTTTTGTGTTAATTTTGTGTCCAGCTACTTTGCTGTGTTTATCAGCTGTAGAAATTCCCTGGTGAAATTTTTAGGCTCTTTTATGTATAAAGTAGTATTAATTACAAATATACTTTAACTTCCTCCTTTCCTATTTGTATCCAATTGATCTCCATCAGTTATCTGACTGTTCTAACTAAGACTTCAAGCACTATATTGAATGGGTATGGAGACAGGAACCTTGCTTTGTTCCAAATTTTAGTGGAAATGCTGAATTTCTCTCCATTTAGGTTTATGTTTATGTTGGCTGTGGGTTTGCTGTAAATTGTCTTTATTATGTTGAGATATGCACACCATTATCGCATGATATTTTGTTTGTGTTCTGACCAATAAAGCTTGCCTTGAGATCAGAGGGTGGAGCTAGCCATTAGCTAACTGTAGAGGTCTAGAGGTCTGTACAGACAGGAGACAGGAAGTGATAAGGCTGGTCAGAGACAGGATCTTGGCCCTTTTGGTGGGAGAATTCAGAGAGGTAAGAACTCTCTGGTGGCTGCTGCTCTGCTTCTCTGATCTTTCAGCTTTTACCCCAATATCTGACTCCTGGTTTTTATTGATAAGACTAATAAGGATCACAATTCACACTGTATCTCTAATCTCTCCAGGACTTTTATCATGAAGGGGCATTGGATTTTTGTCAGAGACCTTTTCTGCATCTAATGGGATGAACACGTGGTTTTTGTCTTCCAGTCTCTTCATGTGGTAGTATATTTTGGTATATTTAGTATCTTAGCTATCCCGGTAGAATTAAAAATTTACATATAGGAACAGAATGAATAACTTGGGAGCTTAAGTATTCATTCTTATAAATTATCTTCAAAGCTATAAACAGAAACAGATAAAAAACAAAACAAACAAAACAAAACAAAAAACGCCTCTTGGCTCACCATGGTATTACAACTGACTTTGTATTCATCAGAAGGCTTTCCATGGATAGTAATTCTGCTAAAGCTATTCTACATGTGATCGTTGTGCATTTGTGTGTGTGTGTGTGTGCGTGTGTGTGTTGCGTAGAACAGCCATAGCATGACCATTACGTTTACAAGTTTACAAGTTCTCCACACTGGTCACTGGTGCAGGGATGCCAGCCAGCGCTGCAATGGAAAGCTGAGCGGTGTGATGAAATGTGCTGGATGTCAGGTAAAGGTCAAAGAAGTAAAAGATATTTGCATAAAAACCACTAATAAGGGATCTAGGGTTGGTATGCAAAATTAATTTTAAAAAATTTAAAGAAAAACCATTAATAACAATAACAGAGTAGTTAAGTGAACGGCACTGATAGTCTGGAAGTCAGCACTGAATGAGGCAACGGCTTCTTGCAGCACCTGCTAGCATGCACCACACTCCTGTGTCAGGAAATAGCTATAAACGGTCCCAGGTCACATACCCAGCAAATGGGGAAGCTAGGAACTAAACTAATTCTTTCCTTTATCACATACCTACGAATTTTTTATCCAGTCAAAGGATTTTCTCCCCACAAACACACCTCAGAGGGGAAAAGTATAGAAACACCTGATCTAATTGAATGACCTCAACTGATAGCCACTCACAAACAATATAGTGTCAACATTTGTTTTAAAATGACTTCAAGCACAGACATCCCAGATCATTTCAACTCCAATTCATATTTAACATGACACCTGTAGTGGTGTGCGTGTGACAGAAGTCAAGGAAATGAGACCCAGAGCTGCAGTTCAATGCCAAATCCAAGAGTCAGTGCACACCTGTTCTTTAACAACCAACGCAACGCAACTCTTAGAATCCCTTTTCACCGGTCTAAGCTCATATGACCAGTCAGGCTGCAATGGCAAATACCAGGCAGTTTTAAAGGGAGCATAAATAAATAATTGCTGTTATAATTAACCTATGCTTTGTCGATTTGGTTTTCAGTAACTACCAATACTTGCGAATTCATTTCTTCTTATCATTTTAATGTGACTGAGTCACAGCGACCATCCCATACCACCCTTGAGCTTGTGTTAACTAAAGGAATGTACAAGCAGCTATACCTCCCCAGTCTGCCAACTGTGTCTGTGTTTTCCTCTTCCTTTACTGGCAACTGTTCCATTCTTCCCTTGTCCTGCGTGAGGTGTGTACACAGTGTGCAGTCGTCCTGTTAAAAAAGAGAAAACGCCAAGAACTCAACAAGTTATACATTTCCCAGCTGCACTGGCATCTTAGGAATGGACCTGTGATGAGCATGGGGCACAGGTGTAGCAGGAATCTTAGAAGGTCTTATTAATAAGATCAAACCTGAGCCAGGTATTGGGGTGAATGCTGGAAGATCAGAGAAGCAGAACAAGCCACAGCTACCTCACCTCACCTCACCAATTCCTCAGCTGATCCTGTTTCCTCAGACTGGAAGCCTCTCAGTCCTCATATCCAAATTCTCTCAGCTGAACTGCTGCTTGAAAGCTTAACCAGCCAAATGCTGCCAATTTCTGGTCCTCACGCCTTATATATCTTTCTGCTTTCTGCCATCACTCCCTTTAGGCTTGCTTTCTGGGATTAAAGGCATGAGTCACCATGCTTAGCTGTATCCTTGAACACACAGAGATCCAGATGGATTTCTGCCTCTGGAATGCTAGGATTAAAGGCATGTGCTACAACTACATATAAACTTCTATGTTTAATATTGTGGTTGTTCTGTCTCTGACCCCAGATAAGATTATTAGGGTGCACAATATTTTGGGGAACACAATACCACCACACACAGGGTAGATAAATGGTCCCTCCTCCCTCTAGATGCTGGCCCTGCTGTGAAAGGCCCCCGTACTGACCAGCACCACACAGGCTCCTCCCGAACTCCTTTCATCCCTCCCCTGTTTCTGGGACCTTTGCTTCCATCACATTTACTACATTTATCATGACGCTTGTTTCCCTTTACAACAGGTGCTTGCTGAGCTTGGGCTCTGTGATTCCACAGACTAAAACTATAGTATTTAGATGAAATATTTATTGAACTCATAAAGCTCTTCACTGCTAGAGCAGGCTTTCTCAATTTCTGTTTGAAAACATTATAAAACTATGCATTGTGCAGGAAAAAAAAACTATTTCAAGTTCATATCTAGTCAACAGGAAAGCAATTGGCAAGCCTCAGTGACAGCTTCTCCCTCATCAGTCCTGTTGACAAGGACATCCCTACACGGTTGCTACATCTGTTCCTCGGGGGTGGCTACCCCCTTGTCTGCTGTTGATGACAGATTCTTGCAGTTGGTAACATGGTGGTGATAGCCTGGCCTCTAGAGTGTTCCCTTCTGGATGAGAGAACCATGCTAGTCCATGTGCTTCAACAGGCTGTTAGTTAGAGAAGGCAGCCAATAGCTGGCAGCCTTTTGGAGATCCTGCTCCAAGACTGCCTCCAGGGTGAAAAAAAATCCATGAATGCAGTAAGGACTAGACTTTTCTATCTGAGGGGTAAATAAGGAAACACACACTTTCTGATGGTAACTTTCTCTTCTACTTCATCTTAAAAAAAAAATCTCTTTCTGGAAAACCTGTCTCCACACAGCTACATTCTTTACATACAGCTACATATCTCTTTACATACATACTTCTCTCTCCTGCACAGCCACACATCTCTATATGCAGTTACAGCTCTTTCTACAGAGCTCTACATCTCTCTCCACACACATCTCTCTTCTATACACATTTCTTCTCTCTATGCTACATTCCTTCACATACTACTACATCATTCACTCACTCTTTACTCACTCACTCTCCTCTACACACACATTTCTGACCTACATACATTTCTCTGTCTCTACAGCAAAAACTCTGGACAAACATGAGTTACATTTTCAGGATCACAAAGCATTTCTTGAGTAAACAATAAGAGACAGATCCATTCTGACATGCATAAGGAATCACACAGTTTCTCTCAGGCTTGAGAGGTTGAGCTGACTGGGTACAGTGAATAAAGCAGGCATGTAGCTCTGAGTGGTTAGCTGTTGTGTGATTGTGTTCTGACAAAGTTTGCCTGGAGATCAGAGGGCAGAGCTGGCCAAGTTAACCATAGAGGCCAGACCATGGTTCGCATTCCCAGACAGAGAGTAACACTGAAATTCAGGAATTAATAAAGGGTTAGTTGGCTCAACCTTGAGGTTAAGAGTATGAGCAGAAAGTCAATTGCTGCAGAGAGTTTATGTCTTAATGTTATCTGACAGGCTCTTTTCAAGAAACAGACACCTGGAATCGTGCCCTTGTGCAATTTGTCTCCAGGGGCAACTGGTCTATTTTGGATTTGCTTTAAAGCTAAATGTGTAAAAGGCTGTCTTTGTCCTAGTATTATTTTTATTCATCAAAATTATACAGCTTAAGTAGAAATCATCTTCCTGACCATCCACAGCTATTATGTGTGCCCAAAGATGGAATATTTTCATGAGATAAACACACAAGCAGTGGAAAAAATACCCATAGCTGTTTTTAGGGACAAAATGTAGTGGCACACGAGAAAAATTACAGATAAAAACAACCAGTCACCATGGTCCTTGCCAAATGGGGCTCCCCATCAGAGTTATTCGTCTGGTGGGTCAACTTGTTGAATACTAGCTGTCACCTGCTGTATACACCCCGGGCCTCCAGCAGTTAGTGAGAGGAACCAGCCAATAGCTCCTCCAGGGGTTCTTGCAGTCGCTAATGGTCCAAACCACCTACCATCCTCCCTCACATCTTGAGATCCCCTGTCTCTTTTGCCCCATGTTTTGTGGCAAATGTCTAGAGTTAAGGGAACAAAGCTTCAGGAACACACACTGTGAAGAGCTTTCTAATGATGCCAACATTCCTCTTGAGGTTATGAAAAGACTCATTTAATTCAATTGTATTTAAGGTGTCAGGATCCCTGGTGCCAACACCTGACAACCATGCTCCCAGAGGAACACTGGGGAAATTTACCTGCTTTTTGTTAGATGTTGCAATTGTTTGCATGGTTTAAATTTACATGAATTTCTTCTTGGGAAAATCCAGACATTTGTCTTTCAATAATATCTTATCTTGCTTAGTATACTACTACTAATACTTTTCCTATACCTTAATTAACCTTTATGTAATCACCACATAATATACACATTCATTTAAACTATTACAACTACCTGAAAACTGTGACATTTCTAATAGAAACACAAATTAGAAAAAAAAAAAAATTCCTCCTCACTCCATTTGGACAAAAAAAAATGGAAATCAGAATTTCTAGAAAACAATGTCCAGTGTGAAAAGATGTACCGAATGGAGAGAAGGTGCCATTCAGAATGCTTAAGAAATGCTCATTTAAATTCCTATTCTACAATCAGAGTTGAAGGAAACTAAGAATACTCTTTAAGCCTTCTTTCCTATTTACAATGTTTTCTTGATTTGTTACCTATTTATTTATAATAAATATTCAAAATAAGTCATCTGAAATCACATTCTTTAACATTCATAAGGATGATAAACTTAAGGAATATTTTTTGAAAATCTGAAGTCGTCCATGTTTCTCTGGTGACACTCCTCATTTCTGAACGACTGCAAGTACCCACTGAGGGTCCTTGGCTAACTCTTGACATGACAAAGGAAATGCCAGCTTTCTTTTCAATGTGTGCACTTCATTCCTTGCCTTCCTTAGTAACCCTGGACTCCTTGTTAAACAAACTTGTGTAGAAACACATTGATGGAAATCCCCAAAGCTAAAGGAATTGTTACTGTCAGCTCCAGCTCTGGGAATTGCACCAGACATGGCCTAATGATCAGTTGTTATATCTGGAATCTCTCCTAAGTTATAGGATATTGTCTGACACGTAGATGAAGATAAAGAAATGGTTCTGATATCTCTGCAAAAATTAGATGTAATCATTCTAATCCAGAAGCGGAGAGTGAAGGGGCCACCCAAGGGTAGAGATGATCTGAGATTGGCAGGGGAACTCAAGAGAAACACAAGATTCTGTCACCCCATGAAGACCAGGGGAAATTAAAGCGTTCATGATTTATGTTACCTGAGAACTTGAGCAATTCCTCTCATCAATGACTTGGGGGGGATGACTAAAATCTGCAACCCCCCAAACCTCACATGAACCTCCTGCTCAGTCTCTGCTATAGTGCCCACACTTGCTCCTCACAGCCACCGCGGAGAGATGTTCCCAGAAAGGAACACAATTAGATTTTACTCAGCTGCATCCATGCCAAGAATACACACATCTGCTGACACCTTACAGGTACACAGTGGCCTACTCTCCCCAGACTTAAAGAATTCAACAAGTTAGGGTAGCCTTTTCTAGAATAAAGTCCATCCCCTCTGAGTCTCCAGAGCCTCGAGAACTGCCTAAGGGCAATCAATGCCAGTTACCAGCAAAACATAAGACTGCAAAGCTTAAAACAAACAAACAAAACTCAGGTACAAAGACAAGTCCAGCTGTAACTCTACCCACAGTCATGCCCTCACTATGGTTTAAGTTGTTTGGGGGTCACTTGGAGTATAATCAGATGCAATGATTACAACTTCACTGCAGTTTCCTTTTAATTTGTTCTGATGCTAGATTACTTCTTGGAAGTTTTGTTTTTCAGCCACACTGTCAGGATATAAGCATTAATATTTACAAATCAAAGGGGTCTCAATCCAGAAAGCCCTTGAGATTCTAGCAGAAGTACATAAGACAGCTTGTGCCATTATTAGAATGCTGTGCATATGTTCCTGACAACTTGGGCAAAACATTCTTGGTCCTCTGTGATTTACACACCCCAATTAAATCTAAGTTGGATTCTACCTTGCGTTTTATGGCTTCCTATTAAACCTTCATGGAGATCAGGTACCTCATACTAAAAATGCCTTGTTACCTTCAGCATTGATCAGGCCCAGGCACAGCATACTTTGATGTCCTGAAGAAGAACAGCCTCCCCACCAGATTCACAGTCTTTATGAGGTGCTATTACGTCAGCAAGATCAAGATTTTTGAGGCCCTGGGTGGACCCTGGGTATAAGAAACTTCATATACAATCCTTATAAATGAGGGATAAAAGCCTCAGAAGGGGAAACTGAGGCAGGCTACAAAGATAGGGGAAATTGACAGAATGAAGGGGAAAGAAGGCCTGGTCTGGAATCTCCTGATGGCAGCTGACCCAGGTAGTCATCTGACCCATGTAGCTGAAGTTTTCTCCAGTCCTGCCTGGCCAACAGTCAGGAAAAATCTCTCTCACCCACCAGTCCCGCAGCCACTCAGTACCAACCAAGTAAACACACAGAGACTTATATTGCTTACAAACTGTATGGCTGTGGCAGGCTTCTTGTTATCTAGTTCTTATATCTTAAATTAACAATTTCTATAAATCTATACCTTGCCACATGGCTCATGGCTTACCAGTATCTTATATGTTGGTACTCATGGCAGCAGCTGGCAGCATCTCCTGACTCTTCCAGAATTCCCTTCTCTGCTTGTTCCACCTATACTTCCTGCCTGGCCACTGGCCAATCAGCATTTATTTATACAGAGCGATATCCACAGCAGACCCAGGCAGTCAGCTGACCCAGGCCTCCCAACACAATCAATTCAGCGTGAAGACTGTTTAAAGAGTGACAAGAGTTTTGTAGACACTTCAAATAATAATGTCAAAATAACCATGGCCCAATCTTAGACCTAAACTAATAGCAGCCTTTGGGAAAGCCTGCTCCAAGACTGCCTCCAGGGTATGCAAAAAAATCCAAAAAGGCAGCGAGGGCTAGACTTTTATATCTGAGGGATAATAAGGACAGAAACACATACTTTCTGATGGTAACTTTCTCTTTTACTTCATCTTGAAAAATCCTCTTTGAAAAATCTCTGTCTCCACAGTTTCATTCTTTACATACTGCTACATATCTCTTTTTACATACATATATCTCTCTCCTGCACAGTCATATATTTCTGTATACAGTTACATTTCTTTTCTATATAGCTTCATATACAGTTACAAATCTCCACAGTTACATCTCTCTCCACACAGCCACAGCTATACATCTCATCTACACAACTCTCTCACCATCTGTCTCCTCACAGCTCATATATCCACACATTTCCCAGTTACATTCTTCACATCTCTCTACAGTTCTTCTTCCACCCAGCTACACCTTCTTACATTTCTTTCTACATCTCTCACATTTTCCATACATCTCCCACATTTCTCTCTCTGCGCATTCAGCTACATCTCCCTTCTACACAGCCACACATCTCCACAGTTACATCTCTCCCCACATAGCCACAGCTATACATCTCATCTATACAGCTCTCACACCATCTGTCTCCACATGACACATATCTCTATACATTCTCCACATCTCTCTACAGTTCTTCCTCCATTCAGCTACATCTTTACCTACAGCAAAAACTCTGGACAAATACGAATCACATTGTCAGGGCCACACAGCACTTCTTGAGTAAACAATAAGAAACAGAGCCATTCTGAGGACTCATTTTCTCTCAGGCTAGAGATGTCACACTGACCAGCCAGTGAGTAACACAAAGGGCTGTGCACACAGCCCGAGATACATCACAGAGAATGACATTGAAATCCAGGACTTAAACAATAACAGTTAGTTGGCTGAACCTTGAGCCTTGTATCATAAACTGAGGTTAGAAGTACATGCAGAAAGTCAATTGCTGCAAAGAGTTATGTCTACCAAGGTTGCTTCATGTCTGACCTTGATTCAGCAATAAACACCTGGGAACTTGTCCTGGTGTATTTTAGTTACAGGGCAGCTAGTCTGTTTTGAATTTGCTCTGAAGTCTAAAATTAGCTGTCTTTGTGACTGAGAATACTCTTTCCTAAGTAATGAAAAAATATCCTAGCATTATTTCTATTCATCAAAATTATACAGATTAAGCAGAAATCATCTTCCTGACCATCCACAGCTATATGTGTGCCCAATAGATGGAATATATACATGAGATAAACACACACTCAGTGGGAAAAATACCCATAGCTGTTTTTAGGGAAGAAATATAATGGCACATGAGAAAAATTACAGACAGAAGAGACCTGTTTTCAGAGTCTGTGGTCCAGTAAGCCTTGCTTGACGGGATTCCTCCATCAGAGGGTTATTCATCTGTGGGTGGACACCTGAACTATCAATTGCCATCTGCTGTATACTCCCATGGCCTCCAGCACTAAACAGATGTGAGTTTCCAGTTTACTCTTAATGTATCCCAGCTGTTAACCTGTAACTGAGAATCTCAGTTTCATGAACTTCATTTAAGGTCAAAGTATGTCTGTCAACTCCCTCTGACCTCATACAGTAGGAATTCCTTTGACCTTGTGACTTAGGGTATTTTCTAATCAGCCTTAAATCCTGCCCAGTTCACACCCAGGAGCCATTCACTTAAGATCTCTTTTACAAAAGATGGGGAAAATGTTCCTTACCAACTGCCTTACTTAGGGTTTCTTTTGCTGTAAAAAAAAAAAAAAAAAAAATACACCAAGACCAGAATCAACTTGGAGAGGAAAGTTCATTTTATCTTACAGCTTCCAGGGAAGCCAGGGCAAGAGTTCGGGACCCGGAGGCAGGAACCGAAGCTGAGACCATGGAAGACTGCTGCTTGCTAGCTTGCTCATCCTGGCATGCTCCCTTCATTTTCTTACATACCTCAGGACCACTTGCTCAGAGGTAGCACTACCCACAATGGGCTGGGCCCTCCTACATCAATCATCAATCAGGAAAATGCCCCACAGACTTGCCTACAGGCTATTTATGAAGGCATTTTCTCAATTAAAATTCTCTCTTCCCAGATAAGTCTAGGCTTGTGTCAAATTGACAAAAACCAACCAGCACACCAAAACTCTGAACAATGTTACCTCAATAGCCACCAAGATTGTATATTGGGCTATTTATAAAACAAAATAAGTATGGCTCTTCACTGAGAAGCTCACACACACGTTTTCAGAATATTGTTCCTTTTCCTAACTGAGCCCCTCTTTGACTTAATGCTTGTGCATAAAAATCTGTTAAAGCTTTTTCTTAACTTCAACTTTGCTATTAGAGTACAAGAAAGAGAGAAAGAAAGAAAGAAAGAAAGAAAGAAAGAAAGAAAGAAAGAAAGAAAGAAAGAAAGAAAGAAAGAAAGAAAGGAAGGAAGGAAGGAAGAAGGAGGGAGGAAGGGAAAAATAAAGAAAGGAAGGAAAACAAATTCAGAGCACATTTCCCCCCTCGGAGGAGCTGAGGACCAAATCTAGCCCTTGTACTAGCTGGGAAAGCACCCCACCACTGAGCTAAATCCCCAAAGCCCCAGATCAAATAGTCAGCATCACAAGTGAGTTTTTTTACCTTGTCATCAAAATTTTGTTCATCCATTTCTGATGTACGCTCAAGATGACTGGAACTTGGTCCTTTGGAAAGCCTACAGAGTAAAAACTACAGTGAGAGATGAGTTTGATTTTTTTTTTTAAAAGTCCTAAGAAAATTAAGCACCTAGTTTTTGTTTTGGTTTGGTTTGCTTTGGTTTATTTGAGACAGGATTTCCTGGCTGTCCAGGAACTCACTGTGTAGACCAGACTGGCCTCCAACTCTGAGATCCACCTGCCTCTTCCTCCTGAGTGCTGGGATCAAAGGCCTATGCCACCGCCACCTGGCTGCTGTCTAGATATTAAATGGCATTTAAAAAAGACTTTTTAAATTTTAGTTTTAAATTATGTTGCAGAGGGATACATGATGTGAGTGTTAAGTGCCCATAAAGGTCCAACAAGGACATTGGAGCCCCCGGAGCTAGTTACAGTAGTTGTGAGCTGCTCAGAGTGTAGCTCATAGCTACACCAGACTCAGCTACTCCTCAAGAGCAGGATGCATTCTTAACTGCTGAGTCAGCCCTCAGGATGCATTCTTAACTGCTGAGTCAGCCCTCAGGATGCATTCTTGACTGCTGAGTCAGCTCTCAGGATGCATTCTTGACTGCTGAGTCAGC